AACCTGAAGACATACAATAAGCAGAAAATAGCAGAATTAGTATTCGGCAAAAGTCTTGACGAAAAAATCACAACTAGGAAAGAACTAATAAGAGGCATGGTGACCAAGCAGAGAGTCCAAAAGATTAGCTCATTATTAGAAGAAGAAGTAGCAAAGACTTCCAAAATCCTGCATGCCATTGTCAATAGTTTCTCGCACTATTTTTGCAAGCTCATCTGGAATTCTCGATGCAAAAAGATAATAGAATGGGAGAAGAAAGAAGGCATAACGAAGGAAAAGAAAACAGAAAATGCAAGAAAAAGAAAAAAGTGAAGAGACAAAGAAAATAGAGACCCAGCAAGCGGTACAAAAGAGAAAGATGTTAGAAGAACCAAGGTTAGCCGAAAAGAAGAAAAACTAGACATGGTCAAAGAAAGGGATAGTCTAATTAGAGAATGGGTCTCGTGGGGAACCAAACCAGCATGGTCTTCACTGGTGAAGCCGAAACAGTCTTTTTAAGCATGCTTGATATGGCAGACAACAGCCAATTAATAACCAAGGGAGTACCTCGATCGGTACGAAATCCTTAGAAAGTTAAAGATCCTGAGGGTGATAAATTGTTGTTTTGGTGGGTCACACTGGGTAAATACTTGGTGAGTCTTTTTTAAATTAGAGCATTATACTATATAGTCAATTATATATGTATAATAGTTAAATAGTGGTTCAAATAAATAAAGACAAGACTACTTAAAAAAAATAAAAAATAAAAAATCTTTAATATCATCTGAATATGGATTAACAGTTACGGCGGAGGGCTGTCATTATACAGACCCAGGTTCTAAACCGGCTAAGAGAGCTGCCTGCTAGGTACCAAGTTCAGTGTGGCTCTTAGTTGAAATATTTAGATGGTTGTTTTTTTTTTATTTATTTTACTTTTATTAAAATTTTAAAAAAACACTAAGATATATATATATACAAAAAAAAAAAAAAAGAAGAAGAAAACAACAATATAAAAAAAAAAAAAAAAATTTTAAAAATCAAACTCCTCATCCAAATTTATATTATTTATATGACTCTCCAACTCAATAAGCCGAACACGCAACTGGTTTCTCTCCTGAACGACTTGCCAATACTCCTCATTTCTCCACCAATTTTCTTCTGCTGACTTTGTATTTCAAAACCGAATCTCTTCCAACTCCGCTTCCAACAACGCAACTCTTCTTCTTAAGGACCTGACTTTACACCACAACCTAATATAAATTACAAATTAATATCTTATTTGAGGCTTTTATAAAGATTTATGAATATCTACCTTCTATTTTGGTCCTGCACCTCACCAAGAGCTTCATAAAGAGCCTCATTTCCATTACGACAAGCATGACGAATAGCACGAGAGATATGAGTACAAGGCATTTTATTATTAGTATTATTATTATTATTATTATTATTATTATTGGTTATTATTGTTGAAGTTGATAAAAATAAAAAATAAAAAAATTATTATATATATATATAATAGAAATTTTAATGAAAAAAAAAAAAAAACTTCTTCAACAATATGTTTAATTTAGTTAAAAACCTTAATATTATTTTCTAAATTTTTGTATTCTGTTTATTACTTTTGTCAGGCACAATATTATAGTGGAGGATTGTAACGATCATATGCGGGTGATGGAGCATATGATATTTTTCTTTATTATTTTGCTTGTTTGTTTATTTTATTTTTAAATTATTTTTATTTTTGTTTATTTTTTTGGAGAACAATTAGTCAAAATAAGGTTGAAGTATGTGGTGTTATATTTGGTAATTTTGTGTTATTTTGGTATATTTTCGGTATATAGTTAACCCTCTCTAAATGCAATTAACGCAGACTATATAGAAATTTTAAAAAATCTTGCATTTATGAAGGTATTGCATTTAGGAAAATAAAAATCTATAAGTGTATATGTAGTAGAGACACAGCAAGGCCATGTATTTATGGAGGTTTTTCATAGAATATGCATTTAGGGAAGTTGTATTTATGGAGGTTTGACTGTATTTTGATGGGATATACAAATTTGGATAACAGAAATCGCTAGAATAATTATAATACGTGATGAAAGCGAAGAAAATAATGAAACAAAACAAATTTATCAGAACAATATAGAAACTTAAAGAAGAATAAGAAAAATTTTTATTGTTTATGGGAAAATTAAAGAAATTTACAGAAACTTTTAGAAATTTTTTAAAAAAAGAAGAGATTATAATGAAGATAACAAAAAGATCTCTATAAAAAGAGCTCATCTCTGCCTTGCTCTACTAAAAACAAAAAAATTAAGAAAACACAAACTCAAAACCAAGGAAGCAGAAAAAAGGACTCAAACCAAGAAGATTTAAAAGAAGAAGAAACCAAGAAAAAAAATGGCCCAACTCTCTAGAATACTAGACTAATGGCTGAACAACTTCAACATGAATTACAAAAATTGAATCTAACTTCAATTATGATAATTACTCCCAAAGAAATTATTTATCAAGGCAAAACTCAAGTAATACAAGCCCCTTTGAAGCTTACTGATTCTCAGAAGATTTGACAAAAATTGCCTCTATATATCAAGGACCTTCAAAAACCTATTACAAGTGCTGGCCTACAAGATATGATAGAAGTTTTTGGCTATTCCTGGGAAGATAAGGTGCGATCTATTTGCAAGAAGATTAAACGCTTCGAGAATGAAGATAAGGCTATTTATCGAACTTTAGAATGGTGCTATCGACTTGGTGAACTTCTTTGTATAAGAAGTTGAAGTGAGAATACATTAAACTTTTTAATACAAGAAGTTGGCTCTCGAAAAGAACCTGAAGTATTTCGAGTAGCTAAAAGGACCTTTGAGCTATACAATGCTCGAGGAATTTGGAATCTGTACCAAGCAAAAAAGATAAGTTACAGAGTCTTAGCTCATATGTATAACTCTGATTTTGAGGTAGTAAAACAAGAAGCTTATCGTGTTTACTTAGAAGAAGCTGGTGATTTTACTATTCCTGACAAGTTTTAAAAATATTCGCAGGAGCTCATATTTTAAGGAGAGGATGATGTTACTGATAT